CGTCGCGGGCGCCGATGGCGGAATGAACCGGTGGCGCCGCGAGCGCCGACACAGGCGCCCTCGTGAACTAACCCGCCTCTTCTACTGACACAAGCATAACCTCTTACCAATACGATAGACCTACACTCATCGATGCCAGAAATACGCCGCACGAATACATGGAAAATGAGTAGGATCGTACGACAGCTACACTCCGCCGAATCTATAATGGATATTCGCACCGACGGACCACCTGGCCCGCCTCCCCTCGCTACAACATCTAACGGGTGTCCATCGATTTATAGCGATACGAACAATGAATAACCAATACATATCGTATAATACGCCTTGCGTTTTTTCTCGCACAGTATATAATTTGAACAGAGAATTACGGTGCTTTTGTTTTCGATCGTATTCACATTCTTGAACGATAATTTATTTTACGATGATATTTTTCTTTTGTTGAAATTAGTTGAATCGAATGTTATTGTACAATTAATTAAATTTAAGTTATGATAAAAAAAAATATTCTTTATGTGATGATTGATATATAAAAAATTCAAATGAACATCGTAAAATACTAATATTAAAATTATGATTTTTTGCAGGAAATACGAAGAAACGTATAATAACATTTATTAAATTAAAATAGATAAAAATATTGACTCGATGATTTAAGAAAAGTGCTGTATACCTTTTAGTTATTTTCCTTTGGGCAACGACACATAAACGGATTATTGCTATAAGCACGGATAACTGCGATAACGTTGATACAGTTACCTCGTTACCCCTTCTGTCGTAATCGTAATAAAACCTCCACTGTTCTCGAACTCTGCTCTCTGTAACTACGTTAATTGGCCTCTGAACAGTCTGTACGGTCTGCACGACCCAACGAACTAACGGGTGTCTATTTTTTAACCGATTCGATTCCTCAACGAACACCTCTTGCCAGATTCGCATTCACAAGTACTTCATCTTGTTTTCAGCATCGATGTATTCTATCTACCTCCATCTTAAACATCAATGTATAATCATTAAATCGCTACTATCCTCACAGATTTACCACGTCACGTATGATTATGCATTTCCACGTCAGCTATCGTAATATGCAATTAGTTGGATCGCGTAATAATACGTTTCCTTATTTACATCTCACTGAAGTTGATGCAGTATAGCAAACGGAGGAAAAGAGCTAACGCGCATGCAACTATGTATATCTCTTCCTTCCGATGTAATCTTGGAAATAGAGGGACTTTGAGGAAACTCATTACAACTGCTCACACTCTCATCGTTGTTCTCGTCTCTGTTGCGCCCACTCGAGGGCATTGGTGGACGCTCATTTCTTATCCGAAGAAAGAGAAGTGATTGTCTTAGTTCCATTCAGATTACAACGGGCATTGCCAATATCCGTTAAGATAATTCTCTGATGTATATACGTGTATACGATCGAGAAATTTCCTTATGATTTTAATGTAAGTAATCGAGAATTCATTCGCGTCATATTAATAGTATTCGTAATTCTATGTATTATTTTGGTTATAAAATATGTTAATTAATATATGGTGAGAAATTTCATTTTGCTGTTAAAAATAATCGATTATCATTTGCTAATCATTCTCTCATAATTGCAATATATGCAATTATACAATTATTCATTTTGATATGCATATTAAATAAAATTCGTCAAATCAAAGTGATATTCACAAAAATCCCATCGTCTATCTTTCTTGCTATAGTGGTGCTCGCATTTCGTTCGTTGTATTCAATTTCGTCCGTTATGTCGGATCAAAAATATTGGAGGACAGTCGTTTCCCATCTAAAGAAAGAGAGGAATCGTTGGTGTTCGGTCGCGTACCTCGCGAACCACGACGCGTAAAGAAAGAAGAAAAGGAAAAGGGGGAGAGAGAGAGAAAGCAAAAGACACAGCGAGAGCGAAAGGGAGAAGAAAAGTTCCTCGATGCCGCTTACTAGACGATGGAAGGGATACTTGGCTTGGGAGGGAGAAGGTAGAGAGCAGTGGACGGCGGAAGGAGGCGACGAAGAGGGGGAAGAAAGAAGAGAGAGAAAGGGAAAAAAGGCACGTTGTCCAAGTAGATGCGATACGCGCCGGAGATCGTACGCAATGCCTGCGGCTATCTAGCTTAACTCGTGAAAGCCTAACGAATGTTCTCTTCTTACCGTGTATGTGAATTTCTGTCGCGCGCACGATCCTCAACCAAACACCTGCGCGAGATAATGTCTCGTAATAGCTTCTGCACGAATTTCGCGATCAATCTGATACATAATTTTTGATAGTTTTCAACCAGGTAAGATCAAAATGCATACAGAGAAAACAGAATCACCGTAATTTACGCACACGTGAAAATATATATGGTATAAATATATGTACATTCGTTGAATATTTTTTTTGGATATATACATATATATTACATACGTTTATGCATGTTTACAAGCAAAACTTCTCTGGTTCACGAGACCCGTAAATATGAGATTTATAGTCAAGCGAAAAGTAAATACTTTCAAGAATAACTAGGCATTAAGATTTGATAACTTTCAAGCCGATCTATTCGAAAACATGTAAATATATATGTTTATATATTCAGATATTGATGTTGTTACTTGACACATGTAACACGTAATAAAAATTATATTAAAAATTAATGAAGATTGATCCCGTTGAGAGAGGAAAGAGAGAGAGAGAGCGATGTGAATATATTTATTGTAACCTTGACACAGTTTCGGAATCCAAAGCCTCTTCCTAGTTTCTAGGGAATCTCATACTTCAAAGTTCACCTTCGAAACAAGACAGTTTTATCGCTAATGCGCTTTGCACCTTGAAACATATGTTCTTCGAAATACTCCTGCATCGCAGGAGTTATATATCGATGCTGGGTAACATTGTAATACGATACACGATGATATTTCATCTACTTTGCGGGGAGTGTGTAATGTGTACACATATATGAAAACCGGTAGAATACACAGAACGAATAAAGTATAGAAAGACAGATGGAATCTGTGTTGATCACATCGATCTGTGGAATCGTGTTAAATTGTCAAACTATTCCAAATTATATTTTTAGATATCTATTTATAAAATAATCAATTTTTAATGTTAAATCGTGCAAAAACTACATATATGTGTTTACTTATCTATATGATCGAAAATAAAACAGATCAAAATAAGATCTATGAAGAGTATAGAAATTGCTATTATATAAAAAAAAGAGAAAAAAGCAATATTCGATTACAACGATGATGACGATAGTAGCTGGCTTGCAATTTACAACGACGAAAAACGATTTCGAGGCGTGGAGCCACGTTGCCGTAGCTGCGTATGGATCGAGCTTTAGTGGACGGTCTCGCGGATCTCTTTGTGCAACACAAGGGCCGCAGGGCCATCTTCTTTCTCTTCTTTGGACGGCCTCTGATATGTACCTACTCCCCTCTTTCTTTACTGCTTTCACAT